TATATATATATATATGAAAAATTGATGTGGGTACTCAAATGAAAAGTCTCGATGAGTGTAACTCCAGGATGAGCTTATATCGTTGAAAATATCATCAGTGGACAAAATACATCCTCATTGCTTTATTATCCACATTTTTGAAAATATAAACTCATCCTGATGTTACACTCATCGAGAGCTTTTATTTGAGTACCCACAAGATTTTTTATATATATTTTTCATATATACATATATGTAATATATATAAATATATATCATATATGAAAAATTGATGTGGGTACTCAAATGAAAGGTCTCGATGAGTGCAATGTCTGGGTGAGTTTATATCTTTAAAAATGTCAATAGTTGATAAGATACAATGTCATTTCTTAAATATTGACATTTTTAAAGATATAAGCTCATCCTGACGTTACACTCATCAAGAGCTTTCATTTGAGTACCCACATGCATTTATGATATATTTTTCATGTATACATATATGTAATATATATAAATATATGAAAAAATGATGTGGGTACTTAAATGAAAGCTCTTGATGAGTGTAACTCCAGGATGAACTTATATCTTTAAAAACGTCAATAGTTAAAAAAGTACAGTTCAATTTAACAAAAGTCATTATTTAATAAAGCAAAATTTTATTTATTTATAGTTTACAAGTCACGGTAGTCCCATAGCGACTGCAAAGTTGCTAGTTATAAAATAAATAGTAAAAACCTTACCATTTTTACATTCATCCCGATCAACAGAACAATCAATCCTCTCCATATTGGCACTAGACGCATTAATATACTCATTGAGACTGTTAAAAACATTGCTAACACTCGGCTTGCTATTAGGCTGGTTCAATCTTTTATCATAACTATTACTCTTATTAGCAACAGTAGTTCCTACTACACTCGTCTCATTCAGTCGTTTTTGTCCTAAGTTCTGCTGGATGTCATTGTGAATAGTCAATTTATCATCATTAGAAGAAAAAGCACGGTCATTTTCTTTGCTAAAATCAATAGACTCTTTTCGTTGGACTTTATCATCCTTCTGATAGCCTGCTTTACTGAACTCATTAACAGACTCTCTGACATCTGACTTACGTATGTCTAGTGTATCCAATCTATTAGAATCGTCCTCGTCATTCTCCTCGCTCGTGTTTGATCTTGATTCATACGCATCTTTATCAGCCTTTAAATGTATAATCGTTTTGTGGTCAATTACTGGCTCGGGTAATTTATCTTCTTTGTGGACTGAATTATTACTATTACTATTATTATTATTATTATTATTATTATTATTATTATTATTATTATTATTACTAGCACTAGTACTAGTACTAGTATTGATGCTACTGCTATCTATTATTTGCTGATTAATTCCCATAGGCAGACATTTTTTATTTTTTACCCCCGGTATGTCTCCAACTGATGCCACTTGTTCAGCGCAATCTAAAATAAATTTAATATTTTATTTTAATTTATTAATGATAGTTAATTTAATATACAATAATAAAGTTAGCTAATATTTTTAATTTTTTTATTTTGGTTAATTTATTAAATTATAACTAAAAAATATTTGTAAAAAATTGCACTTATAGTTTTGGAAGTTTTTAATGAATGAAAAAATTTTTTTTTAATAAAAAAAATCATTAAAATTTTTAGATGTCGGCTAACTCTATTTTTATATTAATTTACCAGATATTTAATCATTTTTAGAATATTTTTTAACAAATAAATTATGGCAAAAAAAAATGAGAAAAAATATTGACATGTAGAAATTTAAAAAAATTATCAAAATGTCAGCTGATTTCAGTGTACCTGTAAAAAATACTCACTTTGCATAAATTAAATGATTTAAAATAAAATTTCTTTATCAGAGTTAGCCTAATAACGAAAAGAACAACGAAGAAAACACCATCGACAAGAACATCAACAAAGAAACTAAGAAATCAAAACTGACTGAAATAAAGGATAAAATAAAGTAATTTTAGATTAATAAATATGACCTAACTGGAGATGATAATACAAATACTAATAACGCTAAAAGTAATACTTTTGAAGAACTAGATCAAGAAAACCTACGCAAATTTTGTGTTTTAGGGATCAAACTATTGCGCAATTATTTACATGACTCAAGTGAAACTGATTATTTAAACGCAACCAGTAACATTGTAGATCAGGTTTTGAAGAAAACTAATAGTATAAATGCGGGTAAAACTTTTGGAACTGATGAAGAATGGGAACTATATATCGTCGATATTCCCCATTTAATGGCCATGTATGATTTAACTGTCGAAGAAGAAAGTTCTAATTCTACTAGGTTAACTCAATGCTATGAATATATTAAAAAAGTTATAAACTCTAACATGGAACCAATCTACTCCAGACCTACTCCATCTAAGACTGATTTTATAAAAATTGGTACACCTTATTTGCTAACAAATTACAAACGATCACTTAAAGACGGAGAATATAAAAATTTATATGAACAAGCTAAAAACAATGATAATTTAAAGTCATTAAAGAAGTATTTATCGTATGATGACACTGATACAGCAGTAAATCAAAAATATGGCATCTTGCGTAAAGATGGCGGGGCCATGTTGGAAAATAAAATTGTCAACTACTCTAAGTACATTGAATTGATTGATAAAATTAAATATCCAGACTTGTACGCTGCTGTTTATGAAATACTTGATATTCCTGGAAATTTATACAATTCAGCAAAGGTAATTTTAAATAAGGTATTGCACAAAGATGTATTGTACTTTCCTTTTGGATTGTTTAGCTTAAAATGTGAAATGTTGAAGAAGAAATATTACTGGAATCTTGGAAGTCCAAAAGGTATCACAATAATGCCTTCTATTGGCGTTGGGATTTACAAAACTGATAAATTTATATTTTCTGTGCGGGTTCAAAAGGAAAATATTCCTATTTGGATTTTATTACATTTAAAATTAAATCTAATTGTAAACCTTTAATTAGTTAAGTAATCTTGTAACCTATGTAAACCAATGTAATTTAAATATTGATGGCTTTGAGGGAGCTTAGGCTCCAGAGCCAAATAAAATTTTTTATCTATCTATCTATCTATCTATTTGCTCTATAGGAGGTTTTAATGATAAAGATAATATGTATTATGCAATCGGTGTGATGCAACTACGTACCATTCTCTTGGCTGAAATGAACTATAAGAAAGGTGATAATTTGAAATTAAATGATTGGGACACTTAGAAAAACGAACCTGGTATCATGGCTTTCTATGATGAAGAGATCGGATTTACGCATAGACTTTTGACAGCAAATAAATCAGATAATCTATACTCACCAAAAATAATTGATCATGATGATAATTATATTGGACAAATACCAGAAGATAATTTAATGTTTTGGAAAAATTCTTATGATTGGTCAGCAAAAGATTATAATTTAGCAAAAGTAAAAGAATACGGTGTTGCATATAAAAATGGCATAGTAATACAATATGATGTCCAGAGTGAATGTAAAAAATATCGAATCCATTATAATTTTGAAAATAATTATAAAGATAATTTTGATACTCCAGTTACAGAACTTAATGGAGAAGATAATCCGCAACCTAACCAGACTTATTATGAATCGACTAATAAAAATTGTAACTTTAAATGGAGTATGATATTGAAAAGTAAATCTTCTAATGTTGATCTAACAAGTGATTTTGACAACTCCAAACAAATAGTGACCTGTGGGGCTAAAGAATATAAGATTGAAATTATAAAAGATAATAAATATTATTTAGTTAAACGTGGTAACAATGATTATTTACCATAATAGTCAAACTTGGACTCGTAATAAAGAAACATTAATGTATGAAAAAAGTTCATCCAAATAAGGAGTTAATTGTAAAAAATACTTTTAATTGATACTATTTGAAAAATTAATTTTTTTTATTAAACAAGAGATTCTTTTATTTATTATTGTATTTAATGTGAATAAAATTAAAAATGAAAATAAATTTAACAGATGAAAATTAAATTAGCCGATATCTAAGAATTTTAATAATTTTTTTTTTATTGAAAAAATTATTACAAAAAAATTTTTATTTGTAAAAAAATATAAGTGCAATTTATACGGAGTTAGCGGGAAGTTGCAGGGATGCTCTTAAGGGTCAACCGTTTTCCTAAATTTTTTATTAAATTAAATTAATAAATTATCAAGTGACTGCTAACTTTAATGTCATAATTTAATGATGATTTACTTAACAGATATTTAATAATTTTTAGAATTTTTTTTAACAAATAAATTATGGCGAAAAAAAAAAGTTAATATGCAGAAATTTAAAAAAATTATAAATGCAATTTTTTAAAAATAGTTTTTCAGAAAAAATTTGTTTTTTAAATAAAATTAAGAAAATATTAACTGACTGCTAATTTTAATGTCATAATTTATTATTATTTTAAATGGAAATTAATTTAGTATATATTTAATAATTTAAAAAATTTGATAGCAAAAAAATTATGGCAAAAAAATAATAATAGCGTTAGCCGACGTTTTTGATTTTTTTTAATAATTAATTAAAAAACATTTTTTAAAAATTGCACTTACAGTTTTTGAAGTTTTTTACAAATGAAATTTTTTTGTATTAATTTTTTCAATAAAAAAAAATTCTAAAATTTTTAGATGTCGGCTAACTTAATTTTCAATAATAATAAAGCTAGCCGACATTTTCAATTTTTTTATTTTGCTTAAGTTATTAATTTATAACTAAAAAATATTTTTTAAAAATTGCACTTATAGTTTTTGAAGTTTTTAACAAGCGAAAAAATTTTTTTTAATAATTCTTTAATAAAAAAAATCATAAAAATTTTTAGATGTCGGCTAACTTTATTTTCATAATTTTCATCAAAAAAAAAAAATTGACACTTAAAAATTTTAAAAACTAAAAAATGCAATTTAAAAAAAAAAAATTTTATTAAATAAAATTAAAAAATTATCAAATGACTGGTAACTGTAATATCATAATTTATTATTATTTTAATTACCTTCATTGAACTCAAACTCGTCCAATACTTTGTCAAGATCAACAGCAAATTTCTCCATTGTTTCTCTCACTTGTCCAGTATAATTTTATTTAAGAGAAATATATAAAATTAAAAATAAATATTACTCCGTTATGAAAGTGAATGGAAAGTTGCAACGACACTTAAAACTTGTGTAAGAATTTTATTCACGTAAAAAAAGGTTTAAAAAAATTTTTTGATAACAAAAACCTCACCAGATACTTTTATACGCCCATTATTTAAAATCACTATCTAAAATCACCTATTATTATTCATTTATTAAAATATTATAAAACTTTAGACTACTAATGTAAAAAACACACTGAATATAAATGTTAAGCAAATAAAAAAAAATTATTTTTTGACATAAAACATATTAAAATACTGACGGTAAATTAATCAATTAGCAAATGTCTGGTACAACATAAGTCTGTAATTGACAGTAGATTTAAAGATTGTAAAAAATAATAGTAATAGTAACATTAATAATAATTATTATTTTAATAATAATAATAACAACAATAATAGGTATTAATGTGTAATATTTAAGTGAAAAAAAAAAATGATTATTAAATACGTCACGGCGCCATCTTAATATTTTAACGCTTTCGATATTATTCACACTTTCCAGTCTCATAAATTATTTTTTATCATATTTTTAACGTATATTTTATATTTTAATACTTAATATTGTCACTTGACAATTAACACTGACAAGGACGTGCTTTTGAGATTACTCCGCTGTCGTGATAAATAAAATAAACCATTTTTAATATTTTATTTCTTTATGACAACACCACAAATTGTGACGATAAACGTGAAGTTCGCTTTTTTACCGCTGACATTTTAAACTTTTTTATCAACTGATGATAAAAATTTAAACTTGTATCTGACAGATGGCGCTTAGGGCGCTTTTAGATCGTAGAAAGCGTAGAAAAAAAATTTTACTCTTTTTATCTGGATTTGACGTTTCTGCTATTATATTTTATTTTACAAGAATAATCAAAACACAAAAGGGAAGTAAGTACTTACCAAAAATGGGCTTGTTTGGAAAAACTCATGAGAAAAATCCGAAGGAACAGGTAATGGAAAATTTATTTTTTTGTATAACCTTTGCTTAGTAGGTAGCTAATTTTAAGGTGATAAATAATTTATTTATTTATTTATCTTATTAACAGGTACGAGAATGGACTCATAAGTTGAGAAAAGAAGGTTATCAGTTGGATCGGCAGGTTAATGGTGAGTCATATACTCAAATATATTTATTGTCATTACAAGAACATAACAATGTCATTATTTTTATGTCATTTAAAGATAATGGCAAAGTTACGTGCTTACAAGTTATGTGCTTACAACATAAAAGTATTTATATTGCGCGCATTAATGACAATTAATCATAGATATTTATAGATTATAGAAATGAATTTCAAAATTTTTATTGTAATAATTAAAAATGATAATGAAGTCAGCTGACAATTTCAAAATCATTTACAAAAAAAAGAAAATGGTTAAAAAAGTTCTACTGATAATTTTCTTTTTAATTTTTACAAGTGAAATTTTTAGATTAAATTATTTTCATAGTAATTTCATTGCTAAAAAATTTATAATGTCAGTTAACTTCAGGGTAATTAGTAAAAATGATTAATAATTAGCAACCTTACAGTCACTATGTGACTGCTGTAACTTGTGAAGTATAAATAAATAAAATTTTGCTTTATGAAGTAATTACTTTTGTTAAATTGCACTGTATTTTCTCAAATATTGACGTTTTTAAAGATATAAGCTCATCTTTATGTTACCTTCATCAAGAGCTTTTATTTGAGTACCCACATGCATTTTTCATATATTTTTCATATATTTATATATATGATATATATAAATATATGAAATATATAAAAATTTGATGTGAGTACTCAAATGAAAGATATCAATTAGTGTAATGTCGAAATGAGCTCATATCCTTAAAAATGTCAATAGTTCACAAGATATACAAGGTAATTTTTTAAATATTGACGTTTTTAAAAATATAAGCTCATCTCGATGTTACAGTCATCAAGAGCTTTCATTAAAGTACCCACATGCATTTTTTATATATTTTTCATATATACATATATATAAATATATAAAATATATGAAAAATTAATGTGGGTACTCAAATGAAAGGTTTCGATGAGTGTAACTCCAGGATGAGCTTATATCGTTAAAAATATCATCCGTAAATAAAATACAACGTCATTACTTTATTCTTTACATTTTTTAAGATATAAGCTCATCCTGATGTTACACTTATCAAGAGCTTTCATTTGAGTACCCACATCAATTTTTCATATATTTTTCATATATAAATATGTATAATATATATAAATATATAAAATATATGAAAAATTGATGTGGGTACTCAAATGAAAGGTCTCGATAAGTGTATCATCAGGATGAGCCTATATCTTTAAAAATGTCAATATTTCACAAGATACAAGGTGATTTCTTAATTTTGTATCTAGAGATAGAGCATTTTCGAATGTAGCCTAAATACTTATCATAATAAATTGACTATCGGTGATAATGATATGAAATTTTTCTTATTCTCTTAATAATATAGATAATTAAAACAAAAATTTTAGCTATCAGGCGGGAAGAAGAAAAAGTGAAGAAATCATTAAAGGAATCGGCTAAGAAAAATGACAAGGACGTGTGTAAAATATTAGCCAAAGAAATAATCCGGGCGCGTAAAGCAATCAATAAAATAAAAACATCACAAGCGCATTTAAAGTCAATATCCATGCAGATGAACAACCAATTAGCGACGATAAGAGTCGCTGGTTCACTGTCAAAGTCTACGGAAGTAATGCAGGCGATGCAGTCGCTGATAAAAGTCCCGGAAGTTGCTGCGACGATGCGCGAAATGTCTAAGGAGATGATGAAGGCGGGGATTATTGAAGAGATGCTGGATGAAACTATGGATTCTATTGAAGATTCTGAGGATATGGAGGATGAAGCTGATGAGGAAGTAGACAAGGTACCAAGTTTATTTTTTTTTTATTAAATAATTATTGATAAAATGTTTTTTTATTAAAGGTTCTGTGGGAATTAACTGCTGGACAATTAGGTACTGCACCAGCAGTTGTCACAGAAACACCCGGCGCGTCGACGTCTAAAGAAGAAGAAGAGCCAGCTGAAGATGACACCGAGCTGGAAGAAATGAAAAACCGGCTTCAAAGTTTAAGAAGTTAATTTATTTAGATTTAGATTCCTTCTATTAATTAATTTAAAATCCCGTACACAGATCACCAGCTTGCGCTTAGACCTTGGTCATAAATAAAAGTACTAGCTTAATGCACTTGTTAATAATAATAATAATAATTTAATTTTTATTTATTTAAATCTTCAGAAAGTCAGTATTCGAGTAAATATAATCTATAAGAATTTAACTTACTGAATTTTGTATTATATAACGAGCTGGCTTCGTGTTCGCTGTTTTTAACACTTTACAAAAATTAACTAAAAACCAAAAAAAATGTTAACTATTTTGTAACATTTTATAAATTATCTTCATATTTTGTAGCATTGTGTAATTTTTTTTTTTTTTTTTTTTTATTAATAATAATTAAGGAAATTTGTAAATAAGGTTTGATTGCTTTATTGAGATTCAAATAATATTTGAAGCAATAAAAAATTTTAAATAAAATACACTTAGTTTGTATATATATTTAGATTTATATATTTATACTTAAATAATTTACAAACATTCGAATAATTACACTAACAAAAAGTGGTGAGTAAACACCAATATTACTTAACAATAGATTAAAAAAAAAATATTAATACTAAAGTTGTAATTAATAATTAAAAATACAATTAACAATTATTTAATTAATAATTAATATGAAAAATAACAAATTGGTCCTGATAAATGCGTTTTTAATTTTATAAATATAAATATTTTATTCAATTGATTTTTAAAAATAATTGATAATTTGTTTTGATATCTTAAAAATCAAATTTTACATTACAGTAATATTTATTAATTTATTTATTGAATTTACGTACAATTTACTTGGACAAATGAAATAAAAAAATTCATATCGCGTGCCTAATGCCAAAAAGGCGTATAATTTTTTTTTGGTGCCAATCGTTTTGTAAACATGTTCTGAGCCTAAAAATGAAAAAAAAATTTCTAAAGCCAAAAGAGCGTATAATTTTTAATTTCCCGTTAAAAAAATTAAAAATTTTCTAAAAGCGGGAAGTTATTAGTTTTTTAAAAATAGAGTTTTCATCAGATCTATATTCAGCTCAAAAAATTTTTTAACTATTAGTTAATAATTTCTTACTTATAATAAGATGTTTTTCATTCTATATATACATTAGGGTGGCCCAAAAAAAACCGACTATTTTTTTTTTTTTGAGTCTCGGGTGAAAAAATGTTAGTTTTTGATGTTTTAAGAGCCCTCTTCAAAAGACAGCTCAAAAAAAAATTTTTAAGAGGTCACTCCAAATTTTTTTTAAATATTTTTTTTTTTTTAATTTTTTTTCTCGTTACGGTATAATTTTATAGACCAAAAAAATTTTAATTTCGAAATTGAAATTTTGAAAGGTCGCTCATAATTTTTTTCAATTTATTAGTGCGTTAGTTTAGATTTTTTAAAAAAAAAATCTGTGATTGTTTAGAAAAAAAAAAAAAATTCGATTTTTGAAATTTTAAAAAATTTGGAGTGACCTCTTAAAAATGTTTTTTGAGCTATCTTTTGGAGAGGGCTCTTAAAACATCAAAAACTAACATTTTTTCACCCGAGACTCAAAAAAAAACAAATAGTCGATTTTTTTAGGTCACCCTAATATACATATTATGGATTTTAACTACAATTTTATGCAACGAATAAGAAGGAAATCTATAAAAAATCTAAAATTTTAGTACGCGAAAAAATTTTTAATTCATATGCTTCTTTAATTATTAGAGTGTCCAAAATGATGAAAATTTAAATTTACTACTATCAAAAATGTTGACTTTTTAAAAAATTTTTTTTTCACAAATTTTCTCCGGTCAATTTTAAAGACTGTTGTTCGAAATTATGAAAAATCCTGATTTTTTTATACGCCCTTTTGGCGTTAGTACGTCAAAAATTTTTTTTCTTTAGATCTTTACGTTTCGAGCGATTCTAAAAAAAATGGCAAAAAAAAATTTTTTATACACCCTTTTGGCATATTTTTAAATCAATAAATTATTTATATTTATAAAAAGTGTTTGTAATTTTATAAAATAATATTTTAATACAAAAAATTATGGACGGTTTTTAAATATTTATAATTTTAAAGTAAAGGCTTTGCTGAGGTAAATAAATAATACTAAGCTAAATTAATAATTTTTACTTTTTTTATATATTATGTTGTTGAAAAAATTTCTACAATAATATTGGTGTAAAAATTATTTTTTTTTTTTTAATAATAATAATAACATAATATTAATAATAAATTATAAATATTATAGAAGATAATAATTCTAATAATAATAATTCAACATATCAACGCGCTGCGTTGAATTTTACATAATTTTTTGTGATCAACAAAACAATAACACAGTGATTAATACTACGGAGGAGTGTAGCAAAGGAAGGCTTGATTAATAATTATAAAATTATCAATAAATTAACACTATATTAGTACCTACCAATCAACTATCGAGCACACGAGTATATTCAAGAAAAAAGCTGCTTACAAAGAATCTAAACACCCGGACGCAAATACAAAGGGTTTTTTTTTTATTAGATACAAATATTTATAATTTAATTAATCAATATAATTTATTAAATTATTAATTTAATTATTGATACGTCAAGAAGATACACAATTTAGAAAAATAGAAGAAACTACGGAGCAAGATGTATTTTTGCCAAATTTAATTTATCGATGAGCTCTGGCTTTTTTAAATTGTGTAAAAATAGATTTATATTTTTTTTTTTTAATTTATTTATTACCGTCTTGCTTTTAAAATGTCAAGACTCAGTTCGCACAGTTAAAGAAAAAAGAGGCACATCTCGCGGATGCTCAGCAATTTTCACGTGCTAATATCAATTAATTTTTTTTTTTTTTTTTTTTTTAACAATTTCTTTTTAATTAGTCAATTTATATTGCTGGCCCATTGAGCAGATAGCTACATTTTTTTATACTTTTTTTTTATATTTTTTATAAATTAATTTTGAATAAATAAATAACGCACTTATAATTGTAATTTTAATTGATAAATATTGATAAAGATGATACGTATTTTTTAGTTTTATAGTTTAAAACAGTCAAACAGTTAAATGTATACTTATATTTTTTGTTTTACTAGTTGGTAACTTTTTAGGTCGAGTATAGTTTAAGTATTTTTTTTTTAAATATAAATATATATTGAGAGTTTATTGAAAAAAAAATTTTTTTTCTATTTCTAGCACAGAAAGAACAAGATAACACTGGATATCATCCCAGATTATACTCAGTGACTATCGTGACTTTTGTCAAATTGCACTGTACTTTCTTAAATATTGACGTTTTTGAAGATATAAGCTCATCCTAATGTTACACTCATCAATAGCTTTCATTTGAGTACCCACATGCATTTTTTATATATTTTTCATATATCCATATATCCATATATACATCTATATAAATATATAAAATATATGAAAAATTGATGTGGGTGCTCAAATAAAAGGTCTCGATGAGTGTAATGTCGGGATGAGCTTATATCGTTTAAAATATCATCAGTGGACAAAATACAACGTCATTGCTTTATTATTCACATTTTTTAAGATATAAGCTCATCTTGATGTTACACTCATCAAGAGCTTTCATTTGAGTACCCACATGCATTTTTTATATATTTTTCATATATACATATATATAATATATATAAATATATGAAAAATTGATGTGGGTACTCAAATGAAAGATCTCGATGAGTGTAACATCGGGGTGAGCTTAT